GAGTTGAACATGCGCAGGATCTCCGATGACTCGTTGTTGACTATTGTCTTGGTCTTCTTGTCCCACAGGACAGGCACGCTGTACTTGCCTGCAGGGCGCCGCGGGGTGCGTCACATCGCCAACCCTGGAGCACGAAAGGACGGCCCGCATGGCCAGCCGCCGCGTCAACCCAAACACCCTCACCAGCGGTGTGAGGTTGCAATGCCTGGACGCAGCCCGCGCAACATGCAAGAGACGTTGTGCATGTTGCACTGAGACACAATGGTGCCAGGCAAGCAGTGCTGCAGCACAAGGCGCCCCCAAACCAGTCCCTGCCATGTGTGGCCGGCCACCCACCCGTCTTGTCATCCGCCATCTCATATAGGTCCCTCACAAACTTGGTGTGGTTGACCGTGTCAGGGATGCACCCCACGCAGTCAAACGACCCGTAGCCTGCAGGGCGGCGGCGCACACGACCGAGGAGGGGGGTGGCGTCTAGCTGCGCACGCCGCGGGGGCGAAACGCGCCGCAGCATGCGCGGCTGGCATGCTCCTAGCCGGACAAAGGCTCGCTGGGCGCTGCAGGACGCAGCCAGCTGCAAGCACCCTCCCGCCCTTGATCTGGCCCGGCTCCAGGCTGAGATTAAGGATGCGTGAGTACGCGTGAGATGAGGCCCGACTCTCACCTGTGGGCGAGGACAGCGGCGGGTCTGAGGGGTCCCTGAAGGTCCAGCCGCAGTGGGCGTCGTCGGGCTTGTCGGGGCGGGTGCGCTGCCACGTGGGGTGCACCACGCTGAGGCCGATGACATCCTCCAGCCCCTGGGGTTTGGTGTGTGTGTGTGTGTGTGTGTGCTGATGTGTGCGTGTGTATGTGCGTGTACGTGCGTGTGATTGTGGTGGGGGAGGCGGCTCATGGGTGGGTCACCAAAGCAGGGATAAATAGCAAAATAGGCATGTCGGCGCTTGGCGAGGCGGGTTGTGCTGCACACACATGAAGCGAGCGGTCCTGCGCGCTGCGAACACAGCAGGTGGAGCGCAGCGAGATCAGCGACCGAGCGCGGCGCCCGTCACAAACAGTGCAGGCGGAGGAGTCGGTGGGCGCCCGCGGCCTGGCTGTGAGCCCCACCTTCAAATAGATGCCCGCGAGGCAGCGGTTGGCCCAGGGGCAGGCCAGGGAAATGTACAGGTGGTAGCGCCCGGCCTCAGCCTCAAAGGGGCCCTCGCCGATGTGGGAGCGGAAGCCCGCGTCGGTGCTGCGCGAACGGCGCGGCGTGAGCGGGGGCCGGAAGGGTTTGCGTGGGTGGGTGAGACAAAGGTGACGGCCCGGAAACCCGGGCGGTCAGGTGCTCAACTGTTTCCGTGCAGACAAGCCCTGAAAGCGCAGCTTGCAGATTGGCTCGCCAATGTGTACAGTGGATGCTTTGAGCAGCCAGCAGTTCGCTCCCGAGGGCTGGCAACATAGCGTATCCGGGGATGCCGCGGTGAGTTGCTGGCGAAGGGTGATGATGACACCCGCCGTCCCAACGTCCCTGATTGTGCCCTCAGCCCCGCCTCTCTCACCGCACGAACGCGCCCTTATCGGTCTCATCAACGGCAGTGCGTGCCGGTGCCATGGCGACGATCGTGCGTTGGCTGCGGTGCGCTGGGTGACTCCACGCGCGTTGAAATGATCTAGAGAGCGCACAGTGAGAGCGCAGAAGCATTGGAGAAGCTCACATGTATGTGGATCCAGCGGTGTGGCATCCAGGACGCGCGTGGCTCTTTGATGCGTTGAATCGAGAGAGCAGTGCCTGCCTGATTTCCATGGGGCACGCCCATGATGACGCCGGACGACGCATTGCATCCTCACCTTTGCCAACACCACCTTGCTCAGCCGCATCGTCGTAAGCCATTCAAAATGGCCGCCTCCATGCGCAGCTCCGTGGTCTCTCGCAGCGCGTTCCGTGCTGCCCAGCCGGCTGCCAGGCGCGCCGTGCTGATGGTGAGCGGCACTGAACAAATTGATTACATTGCCCTGACGCAGCGCGGGAGCCTAGTGGCGATGCAGCAGCGACTGCAGCACTGTGCCAGCACGCCCGTGCGCCCGCCCGGACGGCCCATTGGCAGCAGCAGACCCGATGTGAAGCATCTGGAGGAGTCACATTTCCAGTTGGAGCACAGCTGGCGCAGCGGAGGGTCCCTGAGCAGCCCCATTGACCCCAGTCCGGAGCAGCAGCACGGAGATCGGCAGCAGTGGAGCTTTTCAGGGGCCTCCCAGCGTCGATCACTTAGGTACATGATGTCGCTGATCGTGTTGGCTTGTCCCGCTGCCCCCTTGCCGACGCTGTGTTCAGGCGGCCAAGCGCAACGACGTCTCGGACTCGTACGCCAAGGCCCTGGTCGAGCTCGCCGAGGAGAAGGGCAAGCTGGAGCAGGTGCACGCGGACGTGGACGCCGTTGCCAGCCTGATCAAGGAGAACAAGAAGCTGACCGACCTGCTGTACAACCCCGTCGTCGACGGCGACAAGAAGAAGGCGGTCCTGGCCAAGATCGCCAAGGAGGCCGGCTTCCAGGGCTACACCGGCAACTTCCTCAACGTGCTGGTCCAGAAGGACCGCCTCAACCTGCTGCCGGAGATCGTGGAGTCGTTTGAGGAGCAGTACTGCGAGCTCACCGACACTCAGGTGATGCTCCGCTCGCACGCTTCGCGCGCCCCGCGCTCTCGTGGCTGTGCGCATGGCTGTGCGGGGAGGCAGTGTCGTGCAGGCGAGGCGGAGGCCGGAGAGCGCGGTGGCAGCACGACAAAGCACTGCCGGCAGCTGGAGGGCAACGGCTGGGCTGGGGCTGCCGGCTGTTACAAATGCAGTGCGACGTGGTGGGGGCGGCCGGGATGCAGCTTGCGCTAGGCTGTCGCGCGGGCACTCACGGATCAACAAGCCAGTGCTCAGCAGGAGTTGCTGGTCAGAGGCCCAGTTCTGCGCATTGGAGTGGCTCGAGCTATCAGCTCACTGCTCCTGCAGTGCAAAGCAGCAGGCAGCAGCGGTGCTGACAGTAGCGCAGCAGGAGCCGCGCATCCGGCCATGCACATGGCGGTTGTCCCGTGGCAAGGCTGCTCCAAGCAGCTGTGCGCGGCGGCCTCTGGTGCGGCGGCGGCATCAGCAGCAGCAGCAGCAGCAGCTTTTCAGGGCACGCGTTTCCACGTGACGCCTGCTGACCCCCGCCCAACCCCCAACCTCCAAC